AAAAAAAAAAAGAAAAAAAAAGAAGTAAATGGTTACTTTCTATATTTATATGGTATAATGTAATGTTTCGTTGCATGTATACATTGTGGAATGATCAAATAAGGCTTATTAGCATCTATATATCTATATCTCATCTCAAATATTTATTTATTTTTTGTGGTGAGAACACTTGAAACAATTTATTTTAAAATACCCATTGGGTTTCCTTGGTATCCTTTTCAAAGATCTGTTAACCACAGATATGTAAATTTATTTCTGGGTTTTATATTCTATTTTGTTGGACTATAGGTCTGTTTTTATGTCAGTATCATACTGTTTTAGTCATTGTGGTTTTGTAGCATATATATTTTGAATCAGAAAATGTTATGCATAATCACATACCTTTGTTCTTGCTCAAGATTGTTTTGCCTTTTTCAGGATCTTTTGTGGTTCCATATGAATTTTAGGATTTAAAAAATATTTTTGTAAAGAATGTTGTCAAGAATATTATAAGGATTGCAATGAATTTGTAGGTCACTTCGTGTAGTATAAAAATTTTAACAATGTAATTTTTCTAATTCATGAACCTGAGATGTTTTCCATTTATCTGTCTTTTAAAACGTCCATCATCAATGTGTTCTAATTTTTGCTGTACAATCCTTGTATCTCTTTGATTAAGTTTATTTCTAAGTATTTTATTGTTTTTGTAAGTGGGCTGCTATTGCTTTCTTAGTTTTGTCTTTGGGTAGTTTGGTCACTGAAAATCAATTGATTTTTTAGCGGTGATTTTGTATCCTGCAACTTTACTGAATTCATTCATTCTAACATTTTTTTTTAACTGAGTCTTTAGGGTTTTCTATGTATGTGATTATGTCATCTGCAAATAGAAATAATTTTACTTCTGTACACCAAATTGACCTAATAGACATGCACAGAACTTAGCACTTGATGGAAGAATACCACACATTCTGCTCAAACATACATGGAACACTCTGTGGAATAGATTATATGCTGGGTTACAAAACAAATCCTATAAAATTTAAGATCAAAACAATTACATTTATATTTTCCAACCATAATGGAACTAAACTTGAAATCAATAACAGAAAGAAACCAGAAAAATCACCAATACATGGAAACTAAACAACACATTCTTTAGAAACCATTGGATCAAAGAGGAAACCAAAAGGAAATTTTTAAGTTGTCTCTAGGCCAAAAAAACAAATAAACAAACAACAACAAAAAAAAACACCCACAACATACCCAAATCTATGGAATGCAACAAAGACAGATCTATAAGAGTAGTTTATAGCAATAAACACATAGCATTAAATAAGAAGAAAAATCTCAAGCGATCTAACTTTACACCTCAAGGAACTAGAAAAAGAAGAAAGTAAGTCTGAAGCCATAAGAAGAAAAGAAATAAATATTAAGTCATAAATAAAATAGAAAACTTAGAAAGCAATAAGAAAAATAACTAAACTAAGAATTGATTAAAAAAATAAAATGGGCAAACCCTTGGCTAGACTAAGAAAAAAAGATAAATCAGAAACAAAAAGGTACCTATTAATGTATCTTTCAAAAATAAGAAGGATAATAAGGAACTGTATATACTAACAAATTGGATAAACTAAAAGAATTGAATGGATTACTGGAATCATAAAACCTACCAAAACTGAATCAAGAAGAGACCCTCTGAACAGTTCAATAATGAAAAAGGAGACTGAATCCGTAATCAAAAGGTTTTCAATAACAACAACAACAAAAAAAAAAAATTGCCAAGGACCAGAAGAGTTCACAAGTAAATTCTATCAAAACATTTAAAGCATTGTGGAAGACAGTGTGGTGATTCCTCAAGGATCTAGAACCAGAAATACCGTTTTACCCAGACCATCTGTAAACTATATTTTCCGAAATTGTGGAATTTTTGTGTTTTGTTTCTGTGGGTTTTTAGTAAGTTTGTTTGTTTGTTTGAGATGGAAGTCTCATTCTGTCACCCAGGCTAGAGTACAGTGGCAAGATCTCAGCTCACTGCAACCTCCTGGGCTCAAGTGATTCTCCTGCCTCAGCCTCCTGAGTAGCTGGGATTACAGGTGTGTGCCACCACACCCAGCTAATTTTTGTATTTTTAGTAGAGATAGGGTTTTGCCATGTTGGCCAGGTTGGTCTTGAACTCCTGACCTCAGGTGATCTACCTGCCTCAGCCTCCCAAAGTCCTGGGATTACAGGTGTGAGCCTCCTAACCTTTCTGGGTTATGGTTTTATTTAAAAATTATAGAGGTTCATGCCTGTAAACCTAGAACTTTGGGAGGCCAAGACAGGTACATCGCTTGAGCTCAGCAGTTTGAAACCAACCGGGGCAAAATGATAAAACCCCATCCCTACCAAAAATACAAAAACTTAACCAGGCATCATGGCACACATCTGTGGTCCCAGCTGCTTGAAAGGCTGAGATGGGAAAATCACTAGAATTTGGGAGGTAATGGTGGCGGTGAGCCATGATCATGCCAGGGCACTCTAGTGTGGGTGACAGAGTAAGACTCCCTCTCAAACATATGAAAAAATGCTCATCATCTCTGGTCATTAGAGAAATGCAAATCAAAATCACACTGAGATACCATCTCATGCCAGTTAGAATGGCCATCATTAAAAAATCTGGAGACAACAGATGCTAGAATGTAGAGAAATAGGAACACTTTTACACTGTTGGTGGGAGTGTAAATTAGTTCAACTATTGTAGAAGACAGTGTGGCAATTTCTCAAGGATCTAGAACTAGAAATATCATTTGACCCAGCAATCCCACTACTGGGTATATATCCAAAAGATTATAAATCAATCTGTTATAAAGACACATGCACACATATGTTCATTGCAACACTGTTTACGATAGCGAAGACTGGGAACCAACCCAAATGCCCATCAGTGATAGAGTGGATAAAGAAAATGTGGCACATATACACCATGGAATACTATGCAGCCATAAAAAAGGATAATTTCATGTCCTTTGCAGGGACATGGATGAAGCTGGAAACCACCATTCTCAGCAAACTGACACAGAAACAGAAAACCAAACACTGCATGTTCTCACTCATAAGTGGGTGTTGAACAATGAGAAC